TTGAGGAGAAGGTACAGTCATGTCCCGTATTTCCACTGCCTCCCCCACTATCAGCATCCCATACCAGAGGGGTACATTTGTTACAATGACTTATCATTATCACCCAAACTCCATAGTTTACGTTAGGGGTCACTCTTGGTGTTGTACATTCTGTATATTTTTAATGAATGTATAATGAAATGTATCCACTATTGTAGTACCATACGGAATAGTTGCATTCCCCTAAAAATCCTCTGTGCTCTTTCTATTCATCTTTCCCTCCACCCTAACTCCTAGCACCTGATCTTTTTCTTCTTTTGATCTTTTTATAGTCTCTTTAGTTTTGCCCTTTCCGGAATGTTGGAATGATATGGTAGGTAGTAGCCTTTTCAGATTGTGTTCTTTCACTTGGTAATACGCACTTATGGTGCCTCCATTTCTTCTCATGGCATAATGGATCATGTCTTTTTAGTGCTGAATAATATTCTGTTGTCTGTATGTACCACAGTTTATTGTTTCGCCTACTGAAGGAAATTTTGGTTGCTTCCAAGTTTCGGCAATTATGAATAAAGCTATAAACATGTGAGTGTAGGGTGTTTGGACATAAGTTGTCAACTCCTTTGGTATTTATAGCAAGGAGCCTAATTGCTGGATCGTGTGGTAGGAGTACATGTGGTTTTGTAAGAAACTACCAAACTGTCCTCCAAGTGGCTGTGTATCATTTTGCATTCCTGCCGGCAGTGAGCAGAAGTGCTTGTTTGCTACATCCTCAGCAGCATTTGGTGTAGTCAGTGTTTTGGATTTTGGCTATTCTAATAAGAGTGTAAGGGTATCCCATTGTTTTAATTTGCAATTTCTTTCTTTCTTTCTTTTTAAAGATTTTATTTTTAAGTAATCTCTACACCCAACGTAGGGCTCCAGCATACAACCCCAAGATCAAGAGTTGCACACTCTACAGACTGAGTCAGACAGGCGCCCCTCAGTTTGCAATTTCTTAATCAGATGTTGGACATCTTTCAGTGTGCTTATTTGCCACCTGGCTGTCTTTTTTGGTGAGGTGGGCAGGTCTTTTGCCAATATTTTAGATTGGGTTTTCTTGGTGAGTTTTATTAATTCCTTGTATATATTGAGTAACAGTCCTTTACCAGATACACCTTTTGCAAATATTTTCTCTCAGTCTGTGTCTTGTCATCTCATTCTCTTGAGCAAAATCTGTTGCTCTCCAAGTGATTCTAATTCTCTGTCAGGTTCATGATCTACTGCTCTTGACTACTGTCTCTGTACCTTGCTTTGTGCAAGGCTAAGTGCCGTGAACAAGCCATAAGTTTTCAACTACTCATTTTAGCCTCGTTGTCACAGCTGGTCTCATCCTACTCTCAATTTCCATGGCTTTATTGCTTGTTTCTCCTTGTTTTGCCCTTCAAATTCCAGCTCTTCACCTGGGTGACTTTTTCGTAGCTTTTCTTATGTAATAATGCTGGATAAACCTGATCTGCGGGCCCCCTTTGGTACTGGTACAACCTCTCTCGCAGGGTCTCTTCCTGTTTGCCTTTGCTTATGCAAAAACTAATGGTGGTTATTAGGGTGTGAGATTAACAATGTTACACACAAACTGACCCCAATTCCAAATTTTCTGTGTTCTGTTAACAGTTTGTAAAATAAGGGTTAAATCTTTTTATCCCCCACTTAATGTGTTTTTGGTTTATATGCAACCTTACCTCTTAAAAAGTCCATTTTAATCTTCATAAAGGTTGAATTTTCATCTCATTCCTACCTTTTATTATGTATATTTGAACAAATACTTGTTCACTCTTCATGTATCAGAGTAGAAGGACAGTTCTCTGAGGCAGCATTAGGGGAAGAATTATTTGTTCGTAGAGTGATCTGAATAGTTAGAGGAGAAGGCAGCAAGTTTATCTAAAGCATTTATTTTATGTCTTACAGTCCTATGTCTGTGTGTGTGTGCATAATCACTCAAAAATAAATATAACAGTATGTCTGACAAGCAGGAGATCTTCTGGGGCACCTCTTAGAACTCCCATGTCCTGTGATAGAGGTTAATTGTTGTGAATGTATTTAATACCACTGAATTTTACACTTAAAAATTACTGAGATGGTAAAGTTTACATTATGTAAAAATGATGTGTCATTTCTGCTTAAGTCATTGGCCAAAGCTGATCCATGACCAACCACATCTAACTTCAACAGTAAAAATCAAACTAAATATAACAAAATTAATAGCAGCTATTTTCTGCTAAGTAAAATTCATTGTTATTGATTTGTCAGGATAATGTTTTGGAAGTATGCAAATAAAGCAGTTTTATCGTTTATGACACATTGTGCTAGTTGATCACATTTTTATTTTGTTGAAAGGCTGGTGTAAGTATAAATATTACATAAATACTTGAGATATTTTAAAGTGTATATAGATCAGTAATTTTAGGACACATGTCTTCTTTTGTAACTTTTAAAAATTTAAGTGGTCAGTTTTTCATTCATCTAACAGATATACCAAGTACATTTTTGCTTTCCAAAATTAGGGTGACTTTGTTAACATGTAACTTGACTTTATAATAGAATGGTATACAGAAGTTCACTTAAGTCCTTAAGAATAATTAATTGCTAGATATTCTGATGTTCAGAATATATTTTTTTTCATGTAGTACAGTTTCTCAGGTATTGTCATTAATTTAATTGCTACTCAAAATTCAGTGGTTCACTGAAAGAATATGAAGATTGGTGAGGAATTTTATAAATAGGCATATTTTCAGTTTGTAGGGGTTTTTTTAGTGTTAAGCTGTCATGGGAATTTGCATCTGACAAGTGCCAGACTTAACGAGTTGGAATAAATGACTTAGTATCCACTTTACAAAAAGTATTTAACACAGTACTGTCTACGAACCTACATGAGTGTTTATCACTTTTGATATAGTCAACATATTTATGGGTGACGTATTTTGAAGTCAAGGAGCTTATTAGTCTCATGAACAAAAGATTATATATAATTATGTGGTATAGACTAGTGGTTTTCATACTACACGTTTAGTACAACAGACATACTGTTTCATCACTAAAATCTCTTAACAGCTGTTTTTCCTCTAATATATAAGAAAAATTAGATACAGTTTTCTCAGTTTGAATTTATTCTCTCATTTGTTGGGAATAGTGTGTTTTGTGTTTTTTTGGTTTTTTTTTTTCCAGTCTTTGGCACTTGCAACCACTTGTTTATACTCGTTTATACTAGTGCTAATATGCAGTGACACTTTATTTACTGTTTATAATTCAAGTTTATAGATATCTATATACTCAACACACATATTAAATAATTTGTTTCTCACAAAACACCATGACTTCAGATTCTCCCCAACCTAAAATGTTTAGTCACTACTACAGGTGTTTGGAGCTAGAACATGTCTGGTTAGGCTGGAATTAAGAGTTGAGCTAGACCATGGAGGATTGGGTGGGTTGGAATAATTAGAGAGGTTGGCAGTATAGTCCCCAAGTGTTCTGGGAACTTAGAGGACAAACTGCTTCTTCATGATAAAGCTAGAACCAGAGTCTGAATTCTGTTTTTTAGTCAGTAGTCATACCATTGGACAGATAGCATAGCAGGAAGTAGTAGTAGTAGTCAGGAGCCTCTTATTGGAGAAGGTGGCAATATGCTTGTAGACTCTGGAAAGGAATTCCTGAAGCCTGAGTGGTCTTAGCAGGATTGCATTAGGAAGGCATTTCAGACTCAAGGCAACGTGATGTGCAGAGATAGGTATCCTGAAAAAGCTTAGCATGTTGGTGGTGGATCATGGTTTTGGAGGGTAGGATGAAAGAAGTAAAGGGTCTTCTAGATGCCAGGTGCTGTTCTAGGTGTGGGAAGCACACGTGGAAAAGACAAAATCCCTGCTGCTGTGGATCTTACATTTTAGTGAGTGGAACAGTAAGTGAATAAATACGCAAAACAGGAGGCAGTGACAAGTACTGTGAGGAAAAATTAGTGTAGGGTGAAGAGTGGGTATAGAAGTTGTTGTTTGAAATAGGGTGGTCAAGAAAGACCTCTCTGGAAGTGAAACTTGGGCAGAAAAAATGGGGGCGTAAGCTGTGTGAAACGTGCAGAAGAAAGGGTAGAACACAGTTGCTGGACGCAGCTCCACGGTAGCCGGAGCATCCTGAGGTAATAGTTTATGCTCAGTGAGTGTTGACTGAGTGCCAGACACTGTTCTGAGTGTGTCACTAGTGTTCATTTAGCCCTTACAACGTTCTACGAAATGGATACTGTTTCACATGTAAGGAAACTGAGGCACAGACATGAAATAATTTACCCAGGGTGACACAGCTCGTCAGGCAGCTGGAGTTGAGCCCAGTAGTTTTGATTCCAAAATCAACATTTTCAGCCATTCTACAAAGATGGGGAAGGGGAGGTGTAGTAGGAAATTTAGTTGGAGCAGTAGCCTGGGGCCAGTTGTCTGGGGCCCTGTAGTTCCTTATAAATATTTAGGATTTTATTTTGACTGTGATGTTAGGTTGTTGGAGGGTTGAGAAACGCCCAGGAGGTTGCTTTATGATTCTGGAGATCAGGAGATGGGTCTGGACTATACAACACATTTGTTAGTTATCTCTATTTAGGTTATATTATAGTTTAAAATGTTTCTTTTTCTTTTTTTTTTTTTAAGATTTTATTTATTTATTTGAGAGAGTGAGAGAGAGAGAGAGAGCACATGAGAGGGGGGAAGGTCAGAGGGAGAAGCAGACTCCCTGCCGAGCAGGGAGCCCGATGCAGGACTCGATCCCGGGACTCCAGGATCACGACCTGAGCCGAAGGCAGTCGCTTAACCAACTGAGCCACCCAGGCGCCCTATAGCTTAAAATGTTTCTTCTGGCCTATAACCTATTTCTTTGATGTAAAATTGAAGATTCCACATCATTATTTTATTGAACAGATATGTGCATGTATACGTATGAGAGAGTGCATGTTGTGTGTGTGTGTGTGTGTGTGTGTAACAAACTTTAATGAACTCTTCTGTTAATAGGTGCGAGAAGATGTACTAAATTCATTGAATAACAACTTTCTTCAAACGCTAAATCAAGCTTGGAATGATCATCAAACAGCTATGGTGATGATTAGAGACATACTAATGTATATGGTAAGTAGAGCTTTTTTTGTTTTTCCTTTAAGAAGTTAGGCATTTCAAAACACAGTGTCTTTCTTCTTTCTGTCACGTTTAGTTGGATGGTACAGGTCAGTGTGGAAGGTGTTATTTTTTTAAAAAAACAATATTTCCTTTGCAGGGACCAGCCTTAGCTTATATGAAATAGAATCTTAATTGTTCATATATTTAATGATTAAAATGGAAGACTGAAAGAGAAAGGTCTGATTTTTTTCTTGGTGTACAGCATTTGTACTTCAAAATGGAAAATGTTGAAAAACCTTACTAACATCTCTTTTTGAGTAACAGTGGTTGAATGACAGCATGAGAGATGAAAACTTAGTATTCTCTTACAAGTTTTTACGACCTAATGTTGTTATATCTTCAGTGATGGGGATGTCATTTTATACAAATATGCTTGTAATAATTATACTCTTAATAGCTGCTGTCTGTCTTAATAAATCTTTGCAGTATATATGTTATTCAGATACATTTCCATTTCTTACCTATTACTACTGTTTTTTGTTTTTGTCAGTCTAGAAAAATAAATTCAGCAAGGCATTTTGGAAAACATTGACATGAGCTAAGCTGTTTAATAACTTTCAAGGAGATTAAACTGTCGACTTTTTTCTTACCTTTGTGTGATTATAGAATGAAGCTAGATTCATCAAGCTTAATTACTGTGTCAGTGCAAAATTAACAAGTCTAATAACTTTTCTTGTTACTTCAGTGTTTATATTTGGGAATTGGATGTAGGATTTTCTTCTAAGGTTTTACTCTCTGCTTTTCAAATTTTTATTTTCAGTTTCTTTAGTTTGATTTTAGCTATAATGGTGAGAGCATTTCCTAGTTTCTTTCACTTGATAGAATAAAGCAATGGTTGGAAAAAATTTCCAGTGAGAGCAAACAGCTGTGGAGTTTTTTGTTCTGCTCAGAGAATGCAGTCAGGCCTATTTACCCCTGGTTTTATAGGGCTTAGTGGCAAGGGAGTCAGGGAGAGGCTACTTCATTTTTCAGGGGTTGATAAAAAGTATAACAGTATTTAGCCTTTCTGAGCCTCATTTTCCTCTTCAGGATATAGATTCATTCTGTGCTGACATTTTGAGGTAAATGAGATAGCATGTGAAAACATATAGTGCCTAGGATATAATTGTGAAATAAGTTAGCTTATACTCTTCTTAAGTTCTGGATTTGATGAGTCTTTAAATTTTAACACTAACACCACTTGTAATTTCATGGTCCATTACTCTACTGATAAAAGAAGTTTTTAAAAATTATACATACACTCCTAACATAATTTTGTTTTAAAAATTCCTGTTTTATTTCAGTTCCTTTTGGGGGGTGCGGGTGGGGGAGGGGGTTCCCAAATGAAATGTCAAACCTTGAGTCCTGTTACGTGACCATAGTCAAGAAACTAGTTTATTCCTCAGCTTCCTCATTTATAAAATGAAAATAATATTGTGCTCATTGGGTAGGGTAGCCATGAGGCTTGAAGGTACCTTCAAGTACAGCACTTAATAGCACCTGGACCATAGTAATGTGCTCAGTAAAAATCCTTAATCACTAGGATTAGGGTTTCTTGTCCCTTCATCTTTTCATCAAACCCATCTGTTAGTACCACAGCCCTGGATAGACCCAGCAACTTACCTTTCCTGGGCCTCTGCTGGAGGAAACTCCACACAGGGTAGTCAGTGCCACTATTTGTCCTTTGTCACAAGCCTCCAGTTGACCCTTCATACTGTACAGTAAGTCTCATTTTCCCTCTACTAGTTTCTCTTCACAGTTCCAGCTCTCCAGCCTCCTCACTCTTTTTTTTAAAGATTTTATTTATTTATTTGACAGAGAGAGACAGTGAGAGAGGGAACACAAGCTGGCAAAGTGGGAGAGGGAGAAGCAGGCTCCCTTTTGAACAGAGAGCCTGATGCGGGGCTCGATCCCAGGACCCTGGGATCATGACCTGAGCCGAAGGCAGACGCTTAATGCCTGAGCCACCCAGGCGCCCCATCCAGCCTCCTCACTCTTAAATGATCTTGCCTTCCACTTCTCAGAGGAAAGAGCAAGCATGGGGAGGTGGGGGACGGGAACCTGTGTTCAGGTTCTTCCCACTATATCTACAGTTTTATCTGTATTTTCTCCCTTTTGTGTTTTTCCTTTTCCCGCCTGTTTTAATGGAGGCATTGTCTCCCCTCGTTAAAGGCCAGTTTTCCTCCTGTGCTAAGCTGGATCACATTCCTTTCTACCTTGTCAAAACCCTGAAGTATTTTCAGGTTCTACCTTTTTACTGAGTCTTACTCATCAGCATGAGACATGTTCAGGCCACTCACCTCCTCAAAATAAAATTCTACTAAATCTTTTGTTGGGCCCCTGCGCTGCCTCCCAGGGTCTCTCATTGCCATTCACAGGCACATGTCTCATAAAAATGTTGACCCTTGGCTATCTCCCTTTTCTCTCATCTTTGATTCACTTTGAATATGTACCATTTAAGCTTCTTCCTCAGTTATGCTGTTCAGTCTTGCTCTTACGAGGATCACCATGTCTGCACATCTCTGAAGGCAGAGATCACTGGGAATCCTCATGCTCCTTGATTTTTTTCCACAGCATTGGGCACAGTTGACTACTCTTTTCTTCTCACATGCTGGGTCCTTGGTTTCAGTGACATAGCACTCCTTCGGTACGCCTCCTGCCTTTCCGACTGTTCCTTCTCAGCTACTCCTCCTTCTCTGCACTTTAAATAGAGGCATTCTTAGGGCTTAGTAACCTGGACTTCCATCTCCTGGTTCATCTCAGTTACTACCACAGCTTCAATTAGTGCCTCTGTGCAGATGATTTCCAAATAGCATCTCCAGCCTCATTTTCTGAGATTCAGATTTGTTATATTCATTTGTCAGGTTGATAGCTACCTTTGTTGTCTGAGAGGTACTTCAAACTTGGCATTTCCAAACCAACGCATAATTGATATCATTCCATTTGTTCATGCCAGAAACCTGGGAATTACTCTTGTCAGTGTCTTCTCTTCTCCCCACATCATGTATTTCTAGAATCTGCGATTTTTCCGTTTTTATAACTACCCAACTAGAAAGCACCTTCATTTCTCTCTCGGAGTATTCAGTGACTAGTCTTCTAACATTCACTCTGCTCCTTGCTCTTCTCTTTCCCATATTGCTCCTTAGAGTGATTATTTGAAAGCACATGATCAAGTTACTGCCCTGCTGAAATTCTTCTCTCTCATCTTGAAATCTTCACATGTCTTCTGTGTGGAAATGTTTCTAGAATGTTTCCTCTCTTTATGTGATTTGTTCCTACTTACCCTTTAAGTCTTAGCTTAAATTTCTGGTAAGCTTTCCCTGACCTGCACTGTGTACTGCCTACTGCTTGCAATTGCTCTCATTGTACCCAGTGCTCTTCCTTTGTAGCATTTATCACAATCATTATTAACGAGTGTTTAGGGCCTTGTTTCCCCATTAGACCGAACTTTATGAGGAGAGGCCAGGGTCTTGTCACCACTGTATCTGCAACACCTAGCACGGCTCCTTGCACAAACTAGGCACTCACGTGTGACTTGAATAAATAAATGCACACAGAATCTTTTTAATAGATCATAGATTACACTTTTACAAAATGCTTTTTAAAAATATGCTATTGTCTGTCTACCTTCAGCTCAGATCATGATCTCAGTGTCCTGGGATCTAGCCGCATCTGGCTCCCCGCTCAGTGGGGAGTCTGCTTCTCCCTCTGCCCCTTTCTACCTTGTGCTGGCTTGCACGTGCCAGCACTTTCTTTCTCAAATAAGTAAATAAATAAATAATCTTTTTAAAAAATATGCTGTCGTTGGGGTGCCTGGGTGGCTCAGTCAGTTAAGCATCCGACTCTTGATTTCAGCTCAGGTCCTGATCTCAGGATCCTAGGATCCACCCACATAGGGCTCCCCGCTCAGCAGGGAGTTTGCTTGTCTCTCTGCGTCTCCCCCTGCTTGTGCTCGCTCTTTCTCAAATAATAAAATCTTTTAAAAATACATGCTGTTGAGGATTTGGAGAGAAATTAAAGTGTTGTTGATATCTTCACATTCCACAAGATAGAATCCTTTTATTTTCATAGTCTTCATTCTCTTTATTTTGCCTTTTTATGCTTAGTATTCTGGGCTTAAGTAAGTAAGTCCTTTTTAAAATTAAGGTAAAATTTTATACATTGAAATGTGCAGAACTGGAGTTAGAAAATTATTTTGACAAACATATGCATTTATGTAACTAATACTTTGGTCAAGAAATATAAATGCTTTTAATTGCCAGAAATCTAAAGACTTTTTCCTGTTGATGTCTGCATTTTCTTTGAAGAGTTTTACCCTCATTGCAGACTTCTCAGATGACATAACCTGCCAGATAGGGCATATATCTGTACAACCAGTATGTTGTACCATCATGGATCCTAGACATTTATCTTCTGACAATGAATACCGGCTGTAACTGTTGGAATTTTAGATCTCAGGCTCAGAGAGAGAAGAGAGAAGATGCTTCACTGTCTACCCACCTACCACCTACTCCATTTGCTGACTTTTGACAAGGAGGTGTCTGTTTACAAAATGTCATGCATCAGCCTTGATGTATAGATACTATGGGACACAGTGACTCTTGAAAATGAAAATGGAATCATTGGTTATATGGAGGCAGCCACTGGTCACACTGTGTTCCACATAACTTTGTTGTGTGACATGTTCAGTGTTTCAAAAAGAAAAGTGTACATGTCTCCAGATGGAACATGTCACTTCTAGTTTCTGCCACTCCACCCCTTCCTAATGTTTGACACTTGCATGTTGAACCTCTAAGATTGGTTTGGGACTACTTAGTAAAAGTTTCATTTTCAATTTTAATTGTTTAAAAGATAAATGATTGGGGAAAGATTTGAACATTTTACAAGAAAATTTGTCCTGGTTCTATAATAGCTTTAATTGTCAATATAACTCATAAGTATATGTTACTATTCAGTTAATTTTTCTTCTTAAA